GTACAGTAATTGTTTTCAAAACATATCCATAGGCTGCAAAGCCCTACACCTCAACCAAAGGGACCACGGTTGTAACATAAAGCTTACCCTCAGGCTAGTTAATGCTCAACATCATAGGTCAGAGGTGACAGAGAGAAAAAAAACAGGCAGAAAATGGGACGAGAATGTTTTACAATGATTCAGAGCAAGCAAATTGATGAGACTGCTGCAGTGACTGAACACAGAATGGAATCACTTTATCTATTTTTTTGTGTATGCTTCTTTGCACATAGAGAACAATTACTATTTTGTGGATTATTTTATCTCTATAAAGAATTTTATACTAGCTTTAGCCCTTAAACAAAAGACTCAAGTTTCTCTCTCAAACCCAACAATCGCTGGCAAAATCGAATTTTAAATGTTGTTTTGCTGTTGTTTATGGATCGTGGATGCTTTACTCGACTCGGTTAAAAAAGCTGTTAAAAATGACAGGAAAAACAGCATCCTTGTAGTGACTCAGTTGTTTGAATAAAGCATGAGCCCTTTCTTGCGTGCTTCTTTGGGAGAAGCTACTTTGCTGTCTGAGTCATCTCCGTATGTGTGCACTGTCTAAAATTGTATATCTACCATGCAAATTTGTGCACTTTACAAATGTACAAAAAACTTTTCTCACGCTCCAGTGACTCTGTGTATGCAGCTACGCTTCATTCCCAAGTAATTTTCTTTGCATCCTCTGGCTGATAAAAATAGACCTTGTAGCATATCTGTGTCTACACTTGTAACAACTTTGTCCAATAAATAATGTTTTATCTGAACAAGAGTAATGAACAATAACATCCAACATTGTAAAAAAAAAAACTTAAAGCAGTAAACATACAAGAAGCAACATATTAGCTCTAATTTCATTTGCTGAGCTTGGTTAAAGGGTTTACTTACTGTAAAAAAACAACATTGTGACACTGTAATCAGCAGTCTAATTCAGTGCATTAAAAACACAAAAAACATTTGGATTAAATTACCTAAAAGCCTTAAAAGTAAGACCTTAAACAGATAACTGTATTTCTGCCACCTTACCTGTGCTGCCATCAGTGATAACTCCATTATCCCTGGATCAATGGTTCAGTGGAGTGTGTAAAGAAAACAGGTTTTGTTTGGGGCAGTAAGATCGTCGCCGGCAAAGAAATGCAAAGAAATGAAAGAGTACGAGGAAGCTCTGTAAAACCGCAGTGCTGCGCTTCGCTGGATGAGTGCAGTTGTGGATGTGCTACATAATGACACAATGAATGCTTTTCATGCTTCATGGAAGAGTTAATTCACTCAGCACATCTCTCTCTCTTCCTCTACGGATGTGTATGTTGGGGGGGCAGGGGTAAACTTGTGCTTGAAGCATGCCAGGCAAATGTTGCAGAATTATTGATGCTGGTGTGGCATTTCCATGTAAGCTGTCTTGACACTATTACCCCGTACATTGTCCTGCCACCACTTTCTTTTAGAACTTCATAATCCCAAAGGTGGATCCTTGAATTATTCATCTCCATCTGAAATTTACATTAAAATGTGTATGTTTCCCTGTCTTTCTCTCTCTTGCGTTCATCTGAGGTTAATAATGGGTTTATAAGTTATAGATAATAGCTTTATTATGATTAATAAGTTATTTCATAATGTGTGTAACAAAGGATTTGGGTTGCCAGGTTGTAAAAAGCTTTCTTTGCTGGTGTTAAACCCCCTCAAACCTGACTGTTGCATTTACTTTTTAATTATCTTTTTAATTCATCAGGTAGAAAAGGGCTGCAGAGCATCTGGACCCAAATCCATTTACGAACAACATATTAATATTTACATCTGTAGACTTGATATTGTAACAACCCAATAATGACTCCATCAGAACCTCTTTATGGATGTTTGAACTGCCTCAGAAACCTCTGGCGGGTGTGTCTGACAATTTCTGTCGCTTTCCGAAACTGATATCCAGCCAGTCCATGCAGTGATTGGTCAGTGAGCAGGATTTCTCTCTCAAACTCTCTTTTTTCATTCATTACAAAACTATTTCTGTCACTTTTCTTGTGAACAACCATGCGCAATATGCCTTCCAGTAGAGAGGGTCTAAAAATATGCACCATTATTCTCATATTTTAGTGGTTATTGCAGCTCTCTGTCACAGCAGGCTTTTCACTCCTGCCTTGAGTATATCTGTTCAGAACAAAACAGTTTTTATTTGCAACATGGTTGGACAATCTGTCATACAAACCTCTTTTGTTTGTGAATAGCCTGGTCCTTACTTTATTAGAAAGTGAGACACCCATGACCTTGTATTATTGACTTAATAAACATTTATAACTGCAAACCTGAAGGCTCATCAGAAAGAAGAAGACCAGTATTAGCTGCACTGGATGCAATCTGTGTGTAAGGGCCACTGTTCAGCATCTCTGCAATTTTGGAGACAAAGGGTGAGATGCTTATAATGATTAGTTGTCGGGTCCCCTGATTTATTAATGGGCACAGTAAATTAATTAACATTCTGTTTTGTGCTAGTATGCTGCATTTTTAAATTGCCCGATGGTTTGGGTTTTCCCCTTTTTTCACGTATCAAACGAGGATGTCATTTGGTAGCCACTCAAACACTTCGGAGAGTTGGACATGTATTTAAGACCAGATTCTTCTAATATTCCCCACACCCCACCACCGCAGGGCTGCAGTGCATCATATGAGACGCATCAAGCATCAGCACAGATTGGAAGCATTGCTCTGGTGGTAACAGCAGATCTGCATTGATGACGAATAATCCTTTCCTATTTCTACCTAAAACTGTTACAAATTTATAATGAAGGTCAACTATTTACTATTCTAAAGCTGATTATAACAGCCAATGTCTTTTTTTGCCATTATAATTTGTCATTTCAGGTGACAACAACAACAACAGTGGCCGCTGCATTGGGATTACATGAATAATGATGAGGAAACAATAGGGGCAGTATTATTATTTTTATGTTGACAATGCTCATAAAACAGGTGGATGAAAACGCACTTTAAATAAGACAGAAACCAAACTGTAACTCTATCACTTCACCGTCTGGGATCTTGTGTGGCATATAAAGTGCATTTTCTTGTTGGTACAAACGGCCCCCAAAAAAATCTTACATAAAATACCACATTGAGACAAACACAAAATGCAATGTTTTTTTGCTTGTCTGTGCTTGAAATGAGCTTGTCTGGCTTGTTGAATTTAATTTCCAAAGACAGATTCACCCCAAGCCACTTATGGGTCTCCAATGTCACAGCACACCAAGCTGTTAACTGTAGACCTCTATTGTACTCTGTGGCCTTTGGTACGATTACTAACGCATGACAAAACCCTTAAAATAGTCCCTGTTGCAAGTAAGAGCGAGAAAATGACTGTACATGAATGAATGTGTCCTGCATGTACATGTGAGTATGTAGGAATGTGCATGTGGGGGGGGCTCTTTTATGTGGCTCTTTTATGTGCAGAACAGACATTTGAAGAGAGATGGTCATTTTTCCCTGAGGGCCACTGAGTCCAGCTGTCAGCAGAGAGTGAGAAACAAAGAAATATGGACTGATTATTAATTGAATGTATTTATTATTTTACATATTCAACCATTAGCCCACCACAGATTTTAAAGGTAGTCTGTTTTACGTGAATACTGTTTGTCCGACATGAATTTGCCTGGAGTGTTTCTGTGTGGCTGCTTATTGTGTACACTTCTTTACACATCCACTTCCCATCTGCCTAAACAGCTCTTTTAGAAACAGAAGTAGAAAAAAACGCCATAGCTAACAAAAGCCCTTTTTGAAAATATGACTACTTACTTGGCCCCCAAAGGCTCCCACAGATACACACACATATAACTTTCAAAAGCTGTTCTTTTTCTGTTTTCACTCTGAACAAACGTTGTTGTGGGAACACACACACATAATAAAAATGGTAAAATACATATAAATAAAAAAATATTTTATATATGATAGATATTTAGATCTTTGAAAGCATGCAACTTCCCAGTATTTTGTTTGTTGTGTTAATATAGTGCTATATGAGTTCCAAAGTTGAATACCTAAAAGTAAAAAGGTAGATCTCTCTCAGATTTTAAGGACGAAGTTGACTCATGTTAATTTCACCAATGTTCTCCTTACTGGCCCTATCAACGAATGCTTCAGTCTTGTGGTCTAGGCATGGAGGAAAATGGAGGCCGTGTCATTTATATACAAGAGTCAGCAAGTGAAGGGCTGAACACTTAAGTAGGTTTTATAAAAAATTCTGAGAATGATTGTTGAGTTTCATTCAAGTCCCAAAACTCGTTTTCAAGGTTGTTTTCATTCAGCAGCGGTGGATTCTTGCAAATACCAAGTAGGAGGTACCTAATTTTCTTTATTTATTTTTTTTACAGATTTTCTGTCTCATGTAACTGTCAGCATAGAAAGAAAGTTTCAGCATATATGACAAAACTTTTTTTTTTTTTATAACTTTATTTTAGGCATTTTTAGTTATACAGAAAATGAGCATACATACATAATGACAAAACGTTTATATTTTATAAAAGTTACCTACTGTAGCTATAAAGGGCCATGTGGTAATTCACTCCCTATGGTCACATATACGTCTTATACATCTATACATCAAAATATGACAATGACTAAAAACAGGTGAAATGGTAGCGTTATAAATGAGTTTACATGTTTACATAATACACACTCTAAGTTTCTATATTCTGACATGTCCATAAAAAGCATTTGATAATGAAATCATCTTTCAGTCCGGCAGATTGTATAAAAGAAATGATAGAAATGTTCAAATTAGGTGCCTCCACAAACAATTACTTAATGAGACATTCACGAAATTCAAGACATGCAATAACATTCAACATGGAAAGTATTATTACAAAGATACAAAGACGCATAACTGCAGAATAGTAGAACTAAAAAATAAAATAAAAAAGACAATCCCTTAATCCCCCAAACCCCGCAGGTTTACTTTTGGTCCATCCATTCAAACTGATCAATTCATGATAAAATATGAGATTTTTAAAGATACGTAACAGGAGGCTGTAACGCCCCCCTCAGTCAGTGCTGACCAGGTAAATGCAGTACGTTTTATTGTACAGAGCAGTTCTTTTTCAGAGCTTTTGCTGCTGCTGGTACCAAGACTCCCACTATAGCCCCAACAGCTCTGCCCATCACCGCCCCCAAGCCAATGCAAAGTGGACCTCCCACAGTACCAGCAGCAGCCCCGATTGTAATACCCACTTCAGCTGTGGTTACGATCAAACCAGTTTCAATGAATTTGTTTTTCTTCTCTGCCTTTTCTCTTGATTTTCTTGTATACTCGTCTTGGAGATCCTTTAGCTCTGCCTGCAGCTGTTCTCCTTTAAACATAGCCCTCAGTTTTTCCTCTTCTCTGTGTTTTTGCTCAGCGCTAGCCTTCATAATCTTCTCTGCTCGTTCTTGGATCGCTCTCTCGGCCTCCTGGAACATTTCATTTGTGTAAAATGTTCCTCCGTTATCACAGACCATATTTATTATCTTTTCAAGCAGCTGAGGTACCTGACTGCTATCAAAAACTGTGTTATTGAAGACGTGATACCGGTAGTTACATTTTGTAATCAAATGGCTGAGCTGGTGGCTCTTTCCAAAGAAATCTTCGATTCTTGTGCCTCTAAGCTTGTCACCATGAGTGAACAGAACCAAGGAGTAATCTGCAGCTTTTCCCCCAAAGACCAGCTGCAAGAGTTCAACAGTTTTCTGTTCTTCCTCTGTGAATCTGTCCAACTTGATCACAATCAGGAACACGTGGGGACCAGGAGCGGAAAGAGAGATGCATTCTTTCAGCTTTCTAATCACTTCATCTTCTTTGTACTTTGTGTCATAAATTCCTGGCGTGTCAATGACTGCCACTCTACGTCCCTCCACAGTTCCTCTGGCCTTTTCACACTCTGACGTCACAGAGCCTGGAGAGAGGACTGATGTGAAGGCCTTTCGGTTCAGGATGGTGTTTGCCGATGCACTCTTCCCATTTCCTGTCTTTCCAAGCAACACTATCCGAAGTTCTTCACGTGGATCCAAATCTACAAATCAATATGGGAAAGGCCTTTCTTAGTAGTTGTTGAGTTGCAGAGAGTTATTTAAAATGCTTCTAACAGTAGGCACAGTGTAACCTTTACATACTGTATAATGGACGCTATTGGCTGTTTACTGTCAATACTACTCTTCTGTATGAGCAGCTTTGCTCAACAGAAAATGACTGTAGCATATAAGTATTCATTTACATTGCATTTTGCCTTTGTGTTCAATACAATGTATTTGTCAGTTTTCTTGGGTTTTGTCTTCTTGTTTATGTTAAGTTTATGTTCTTAAGTTTCATTGTGTTTAGCTCTCTCGGCCACCAAAACTTGGGCTATTGTATAGTTGTTGTCACTTTTGCAGTTCAGTATAAATATACTTAGTCTAATAGGCACATAAATTAAATGAAAAAGCAACAACCATAAATTAAAAGCAGACAGTATATGATAGTCTCAATAAAGCACAATTTCCCGATTGAACAGCTGATATATATATATATATA